CCCCAATGCTTCCTACACCAGCCAGCAATGAATGGTTGTTTTCTGTTCTCAAGTGTTTTATGACTTATTGTAAACCTCATGCGCTGTCGGTTTGTTGGGTTCTGGTTTGTTTGGGTTCGTGGGGTGGTTTTGCGTGGTGCCCGTGTCGTTGCGCCCAAACCATTGCAGAAGCATTAAAAAGACTTGTGAAGCATCAGATTGGCTTGCGAGGGGGGTCAGATTAACTTGTGGGGGATCAGATTGACTTGTGGCTGTATCAGGTTAACTGCGGAAGAACAAAGTTGGAACATGAGTTTCAAGCCTCCGGTCCTTTGCAGCAGCAGCTGCGCAATGATCGTCATCAATCATCATCAATCATCATCATCGTCATCATCACCTGTCACTCATCAACATCATCGACAATGATTCTCATCGTTGCACAGATGAACATTATCATCATCACCATCATCATCCATCCATTACGCGCAAGCATCATCATCATTCTCATCGCCAGTCGTCATCGCGATCACCCATCATAGTCACATCGTCCTACCACCTTCATGGGTGGAGATGATGACGATCCTGTGACGGACGATAATGATGATGATGAGGGATGATGTCCGTGCCATCATGACCATCATCAGTTGAGGCGCGATCATCAGTTGAGGCGCGAGAGATAAGCGAAGAACAAATGATGATGATTCTCACTATGAAGATTGATGGGTTGATGATGATGGGTAATGATGGTGCGTTACGATCGATGATGATGAGGAGGGTGATGGATGGTGATGAGGATGATGGAGGATCGTGAAGAATGCTGATGATGGATGATGATGGCAGGTGATGATGATGATGGTGATGATGAGGGTGGTGATGATGATGCATGGGTTTGATGGTGATCATGATGACGGACGATGACAATGATGGATGACGAAGGTGATGATGATGATGATGATGATCCTCCGTGCCACGACTCCTTGCTGACACACGCACAATTGAAACGGACGGAAGATGGAGGATTGTCTGCAATGTCAATGATGATGATGATGATGATGGTTCGTGGCTATAGGAGGATGATGCTGGTCATGATGACGCCGATGCATGATGACAGTGATGATGATGATGATCATCCATGCCACGACGACTGTCATCGTAGCATGCTCTGCGCGCCGTTGAAGTGGGTCATGACTCCGATGATGCGACGACCACGACGATGATGACGATGACGGAAGATCACGACGATGGTGATGATGATGATGGTGATCGCCATGGTGGTGATGATTGATGATAAGGAACGTTGGCGATGAGATGATGAGGATGGTGGTGGATAATGATGAATATGACGATGATGATCACCATGATGATATTGATGATGAACCGGATAAGGATGATCTTGATGACGGATGATGGATGATAATGATGATGGGTGACGATGATGATGACGATCGTCCGTCTTAACAAAATCACGCCGAGCGCGCTAACTAAGACGGCTACGGCGATGATGAAGATGCGACTTGACGATGATGGATGACGGTGAGGATGGATGCAGATGATGGATGATGACGACGACGATGATGAGGGTGATCACAGTTGCATACAACGACGACGAAGAGGATTGTTGATGGATGATGGCGACGATGGTTTTAGATGATCGAGGATCTATGATTGATCATGAACGTGATGATGATGATGATGATGATGATGATGATGATGATGTTGCTGATGCTGGATGATGAATGGTCGATGGATGATGATGATGAGGAGGAGGAGGATGGTGATTGACGAATGATGGCTTTCGGTGTACAACTACTGTAACAAGCCAATCTGATGCTCGAAGCTGTCAAAGCCATAACAAGTCAATCTGACCCCTCTTACAAGCCAATCTGATGCTCACAAGTCAATCTCATGCTCCTCACAAGCCAATCTGATCCCTCTCACAAGCCAATCTGAAAACGAACAAGCGAATCCAATCCTTCACAAGCTATTTTGAAAGTTACAAGCCAATCTGATGCACTCCACAACCCAAATTGATGAGCAGACCATGGTTTGGTTTTGTGGGTCGCGGGATGTGGTCCTAAACCGACCCTAAGCCAACCCTACACCAATTCTACACTAACCGTGAACCGCCCGAAGCCAATTCTAAGCCAGGCCTTAACCAGCCCTAAACCAGCCCTAAACCAGCCCTAAACCAACCCTTGTGCCAACCATAAACCATACCAACCGTAGTGTGTTTTCTGTGTCCCCCGTGGTGCCTGTTGTGTTCGTGGTGCCCGTGGTGTGTTTTCCGTGGTGGTAGTGGCCCGTGGCGCGGTGCCTGTGGTTTGACCGTGGTGCTTGTGCTGCCCATCATCCCGCGGTGGCTCCGTGGTGCGGAGGTGTGTGGCGTGTGTGCCGTGGTCTTGTGGTGCCCACCCGCAGTGCCCGTGGTGAGTATGGTGTTCTCCGTGTGGGTTCGGTGGAGTAGCCCGTGGCTCGCCCGTGGTGCTTGTGGTGCCCGTGGTCCCGTGGTGGCTGTGGCGGTTGCAGTGCTCGTGGCCGGTGCGGAGGTGTGTGGCGCCTGTCGTGGTTCTCGTGGTGTGGTGGGTGTGGTCCCGTCCTGGTGTGCTTGGTGCGCGTTCCCGTGGTCCCGTGATCCGCGTGGTGCCTGTGTTGTCCCGTGGTGGCCGTGGTCCCGTGGCCGCGGTGCCCGTGGGTCCGTGGGGCCGGTAGTGTTCTTCATAGTGCTCTCCATAGGACTCGTGCTGCTTCCGTACCCCCGCGTGGCTAGCGCTCTCCGGAGTGATAGTTTACAACTCGCGTGTGATCGGGTTCCAACTCTCGTCAAAGCGGCGTCCAACTCTTGTCAGGGCAGTTTCCAACTCTCGCTCCTGGTTTTCAACTCCCAGTTTCCAACTCCATTTCTATTTAATCTTTGTTGTTCAAGAAGGACACATGTTCAACAATGACACCAACAGTTTTAACAGTTGCCCCCACGTGCCCGGTTTGGAGTTAGCCAGGGTGCAACGTGCTTGTTTTGACACACTCAGACTTGGTTGTCTATGGAACGATGAGGGCGCGCCTGGCCACACAAGTGTTGCCTTCAAGTGGTGCATCCCTCGGACAAAGTCCACGTGTTGAGAGCCTATTTTGTGCACTGGCGGACAATTGGGCGCTGATGTGGGCAGAATGAAGGAGCTTCTTGTTTGGGTGTTTTCTTTTGGAGCGAGTGTTATGTTGGGCACACGTGCAATTTATGTCGCCTGGAGGTTCGGGTGGTTGAGAGCCGCAGTACGGATCACGTGGTGTGAAAATGGCTATGGGGACGGCAGCCGAGCTATCGCATGCTACCTTGCCGGACATTGGTCTAAATGATGCTGGTAATGCTGGGGATGTTTCCTCCTCTCTGGCCCTTTTGCTGTGCAAGTAGCCAATCTTGCAGGCTGCAGGCGCAGATGAGATTGGAGTCTGTGCGCAGACAAATCTGCGTGCGCAGACGCCTGTCAGTTTGCGCCCTGATGGTGGCCAATACTCCCCATTCAAAGAAACTTGGAATCGCAGATCCAACTCAAGCCGCTCGGAGCACACCCAGGTAGCTAATGTTGCGGCAAACAATTTTGACTGCAACTTCGGCCTGCGGATGCCGCGGTCGTGGCAGACGTGGCAGTCGTGGCAGTCGTGGCAGTCGTGGCAGTTGTGGCAGTTGTGGCAGTTGTGGCAGTTGTGGCCATTTGCACTTCGGTCGTTTTTGCTTTGTGTCCACGAAACCTAGTTTCGGTTGGCGAACACCATGCTTGGGGCCTTTGTCGTTTTCCAGCTGCTTAGGCGATTGGGTTGCATCTTGGACTGTGAATGCGCCCTCTGTGATGCCACCTGTGGCTCCACTTCCGCACAATTGTAAAACAATCAGCTGTGAGAGTTCTTTGTGCCAAGCTGGATGCAATAGAATATTGGATGATTGCGGTTTGATGGTGCGGATTAAAATATTTTTCCCCAAACGCAGCTTTAGTACTTGCCTAGTGACTTTGTTGTAGTCAGTGCTCATGCAGCAAAAACAAACAAGGAGCTCTGCTCATGTGACATGGGAAAATGAACATAGAATCGTATCAGAAACAACACATTTCTATTCTCAGCATTGTCCATTCAACGTGCATGCAATGTCTGCAGTTTTCGAGCTCCCATTCCCTCAGGTGTGTTGGGGTTTAAACGCTTTACGCAGTGTGGTTTTAGAGACGGTGAAGCCTCATGCTTCGTAGTTCGGGCAGATATTGCCCGCCCAGTCAAGAAAATGCAAATAGTCAAGTTCTCGGCTTGGCATCCACAGTGGTCACATTTCAGACATTGTGCGGGCAGTTGGAAACATGTTTTGTTGCGGCATTAACGCTCGGCTAAATTCAAACATTATTGGGCATGTTTCTAAGCTGACATGTAGGAATAGTGTTTGAATTGGGTGCTATTGTGCTGCTTGCACATCGTTTTTTTTGGCCACTTTGTCAGATTGTGCTGATCGGGCCAGGCAAGACGCTGAAAGTTCTTGCCACCCTAACCGACAAAGTAATTTGCACAACAAGGCAACACGACACTAGGAGTCTTATCGGGTTCTGCTTGCACATCCAAAGAGTCAGCAATTTTCTTTGCAATTGCTACAGTACTCACAATTTTGGCGAATTTGTCATATTGCGCTTGCTAGAAACTGCCCCAGCACCCCTAACACGTGCAAATATCGGTGTTTGAATTGCGGGTGTGCCCGAACATGTTTGTAATGATGCCTTTGTGCAATATATTTTTTAGAATATAAGCTGGCCGTGGTGCCTTTGACAAAATGCTGAGAGAAAGGTTGCACGTCCTTTACTCGGTCCTATGCGTGTAATGTTGCTCAGAAGAAGGGGGTCAACAGGTTGCCCACTCATTTTTCTGTCCAAGCAGTTGCAATGTGCGAATCTAGGGCTTTTTTGGATTGACAGCAAAGGAAGACACACACCGCAACATCGCTTTGCCTTCGGTGAACAAAGGACCAAATGGTAGAATCTAATTGCCCGTTGAACAGGCTCAAGCTTTTGCCTGCTGTTTGGGCTGAGGGTGCAGCTGCAGGTGGGGTCGTTTTTGTTTGTTTTGCTTTTGCGTGCAAAGATGACGCACGCAAGCTTTGTAGCAAACAAGTGCGGCTGAGTGTTGCGCTGCACGGACTTTCAGGTTGAACGTTTTTTACGCAGTGTTTCAGCCAACACTCCCAAGCGAACACATTTTGGAAGCAGATCATTTGAAGGCTGCTGAGATGCCAGCACATCTGAGAGCTAGCCAGGCCGTTCATCACCTCCGCAGTGCTGCGGAGGTTTTGCACAGATTGCGCCTCGACACGCGAGGGTAAGAGGCAAGGGGATGTTAATGGAGGCAGTGTTGATGGCATTCTTATCACGGAAGCTTCGATTTTCTTCAGACAGATTGTCAACTGTCATGGCAGTTCACAATACCTGATAGCTTTGCCGAAGGCCATGGCGGCCCAGCTGAAGGAAATTGTGGATCGTCTCAATGCCGAACCATTCAATTGCGACTTGTCATTGGTGGGCTTCGATGAGAAGGACTTCATAGCTTCATTGGATGTACATGCATTAACTTCATTGACCTTCGTATGGCGCGTGCCATTCTCATTGCGAGGACCCGTTCGAGTTGATGGAAATCCTCAAGAAGGTCTTGACATTCCTGGACCCAAAGCACGATGTTGATTTGCGAGAGGCCAGCCCCCGTTGCTCGCGAGTGGCGTTCTTTGACGTTGACACGAGGAGAAGCCTGATGCAATGTACCAAAGAATCGCAGAGTTTTTGCAAATTCTGGGGTATCAGCCGCGCACTCAATAGGTGTTGGCACGAAACAGAAAACTCTTATGGATGGTCGAGTTGCTTCCTGCAATCAACATCAAGGTGCTCGTTTGACCGTGAGTTCCAAGAGGGCCTCATGGCAGGCTGGGTGGTGGCACGACGATTGTGATTCATTTTTGCAGCACCTCACTGCGATGGTGTGGATGTTGGGAATGATGATTAGTGGGTAGTCGGTGCCTGATACATGCTGACCTTGTTTTCCGAAGTGAGTCTTTAGGATTGAGTCAGTTGCTATGTTGCTGTGAGGTGATAAAAACACAATTCATCCAATCCTCTACTGGCTCCTGAACCACTTGGAGCTGCTGCGCTGCTTTGTTTGCAATTCTCACTGAATCATCTGTGTTCAGCTGTTTCGACTCTTCAGCGATAGAACCAAGGAAAGCGTGCATACCTGGCCAAGTTCTGCATGAATTTGGAGGCCGCTTGGCCAGCTGAAATCCTCGTCCTGTGACAAGATGGTCTGGAGGTTCCCGAGGAGTTCCTGCGGGAGGAGCAGGTGTTTTCTACGCACCAGCACTACAAGGCCTGATGAGTGTGGCATTTGTGCCGTAGGGATATTGTCTCGGTACATTGATTACCAGCTCCACATTTCCCCACAGCTTCTGGCAGATTGATGCAAAGTCAATCACTCTGGCTTTTTGTGAATTCGGAGTAGTCTATGCATGCCAGGAATTGCAGTCTCAGTTCAAAGCGACGCATTCCCACGTGGAGCAGGAATGGTGATAGTTGCGGTTCAACTTCCGCTGCTCTTCCATGCAGGAGCGGCAAGGACGGATGAATCCAGCAGATCTGCAACGAGAGGCGTTGGAGCATCTGGCTTTCATGCCTGGGTTTCTCGAATAGGTGCGTTCCCTTAGTTTGCTTTTCTTCTGTTGCAAGGTGCAGCAGCTGGATGCTGAGCGAGAGCAACTGGCACAGAAGATCCAGCTTCTTAAGGCCCAATCGGCCTATCGGCCATTCGCCATGCCGCAAGAAGAAGCACTTAGGTTTTTTTGTTGCATATTGGTGGCTTCGATCTCTCAGCTTGCAGGCAAAGACCGAGAGGGACGAGGGCTTCGCCCAGCTGCTCCAGGCAGGGTTCGAGGCATGCGCATCAACTCAAGTCAGATGGGCGTCAGCTCGCGCTCGGAATCGGCGGGATCGGACAGGTCACATCCATGCTGAGGAAGGAGCAGGAGGAGGAGGCACGCCTGGCTGAGAAGCTGGCGGAGCAGAAGTATCAGCTGGCTTCCCAGTTGAGAGAGCGGAAGCCATGCCTGTTGCTGAGCTATTCATGGCGAGAAGTCGAGGGCGCGTTGCGTAAAATCGTGCGGCGACAAGTATTCGAGCCCAAGCTTGCAGCTGGGACATTTGTAAGCGGAAAACATGTGCAGCAAATACAGATGACATAGATGTGCCTTGGTGCGTGAAGTAGCTGTTGAACTGAAAGCGCTTCGATGCTATTCAGAAACTACTTATTTTGAGCCTTCTCTTGCTAATGAACGTTGGAACAACCTGCCTTTCGTACGGGATCTTGTTTTGTCCTGTGCTGTGGAACCAAGTGTGCGCACAATCTGTAAGAAGGCGCAGGAAGGTCCGTCCACTTTCAGGCTTGAATGACATGGCAAAATTCGGCAGTGTGCGACTGGAGTTGACATGTGACTGGATTGTTGGAGCAGCAGCAACAACATTGATAAGCCCCCGACCCCACCCCCGACCCCACCCCCGACCCAGCCCCACCCCCACCCCCGCCCCCCCCCGCCGACCATACTGTCAGCCTCCCGGCGGCAGAACTGCAGCCAAACGCCAAACAAGTGCCCACTGCAAATGCCGCTTTGCAACTAGCTGGCTAATTGGGCGAGCGCAATCCAGCTTCATGGCAGGTAATCGCCATGGTTCAAAGTAAATTTATTTTGGCTTATCTTGACCCGGATTTACTGACACAGTTGGCGCGCCAAGTGCTTGAATTCGCACTGAGGCTTGAGCAGACGGAGCCGAGGGTTTTTTCTTGCAATCCCCCATTGACATCAGTGTTGCCTTGAATGTTGCGAGCACGCAGGTTGCATGCGACTGCAGGAGCAACTGTACATAGAAAGATCTGCAAGGCTTCGAGAGATGCGCGAGGCCGGATGCTGCCTGCCTGCCAGTCTCACATCTTTGAGAAAGAACATATCTGAATCCTCATGGGCGAAGCAGGCGCAGATGAATGAAGGCGAAGGCAGCGCGGAAGCCATGCTGAAGATGCTGAGCACAGAGGCGCGCCCTGCGTGAAGATGCAGGACATGTGGTGTTCGGGCCCCAACTTGAGAGTTTCTAGACGGGCCCCAACTTAGTACTGTTCTCGTTATCCAACTCAAGAACCGACAATGTGGTGATTTCGATATCCCAATGCACGGCAGGTCATCAAAGGTCGGGAAGCTCTGCAACGCGTCCGTCCCGAGGCTTAGATAGGCGGCCTGTGCAAAGCATTTCCTTTTCAACACTGTTCCGGAAACAGTTTTGGTATCTGACCTCTGGCTGGAAATCATTGGCAGCCCAAGCCACCAAGGTAGGGAGGCAGAGGACAAGATGGACCGCCTGAGAGAGATGGACAGCGCGCTCAGCGAGCCGCCGGTGCGGTTTCTGAGAGCTTGCTTGATTCCAATGAATTCATGTCTTCATGAAAAAGTAACTCGTTCATCCCAAGAATCGATCACATTTGTCTTTGCCACGGCCGAATGCGCTGCGGCAGGTGACCAAGATGGACATCGACAGCCTTGAGGCGCACCCAGTTGTGTGCCAACGACGTCTCGGACATGTCCAAGTTCATTGAGCATATAACACGCCTTCATTTTGACTTGTCGGAACCTGGCCTTTGCTCCCGAAATCCAGCACAGCTTCTACCCGCTTGCCAGAACGAGATCCAAGCGATGCAGAACGAAATGCAATCCTTGGACGAGAAGCTGAACGAGCAGAATCAGGAGACTATGTTGCGGGCGTATTTTGCATGGCACGTCGTGTCTGAGCGAATTTCGTGTCGCATGTTGCAGGATTCGCGACTAGCAGTGTACAAGCAGCAGGCTTGGACGCTGTTGGGATTGAACTTTGGTGCTCTTGCACCATTTGTCAGGCCAACCTGGTTGCCAAAAAGAAGGAAGCCGTTCTGAAGGCCTGTCTGGGTCCGTGGTGGACACGCAAGCTGCGGGCTGCAAGGAAAGTCATGGCACTGATGTTGACACATTTGCCAGGACAAGAAGACAATTGAAGACGAGCGTGACATCCTGAGCAAAGAGCTTTCTATTAAGGCAGGTCTGTCTCTCTAGCTGTCCCTGAGAGTGCGCTTCACGGCCAGGAGCGTGAATACGAGGAGATGAAAGGCCCACTGCTACTGGACAGCATAAATGCTTCTGATTTCCTGCACAGCCAGGTCACAAGTACATGAAGCGCGACGACTTCAAAAACTATGCAGCAGCGCTGCGTGACAAGTCTGCAAAGTTTAAGCGCCTGAAGGCGAGCTTTTGCCACTGGACATGCGGAAAAAAAAAACAACGCGAACCATGATAAGTTTGCGGCAGGCGGAGCTGGCGGAGCTGAGACAAGAGTTAGCGGTGCGATGGCCCTGGTTTGCCATGCTTCGTGCGTGTTTCGTGCTGGCAATCTTGGTGCACGAATCTGCAATTCCTGCCGTTAAACGAGCTGTTACCCGTGTGTCACCCATATTGTTTGCGCTGACAGTAGCAGCATGTGCGGCGTGCCGTTGCTCATCGACCCGCACTTTTGCCAGGAGCTTGAGAAAACGGAGCAGAGTCTGAAGGAGAAAGATCCCACACCACTCGGGTCAGCTTGCAGCTTTCGATTATGACTTCAGGGTCAGCACTTGCATGAGCGGATTCCTGGCCAGGCTTGTAGAGACAGAGCAGATGCTTGAAAAGGCATCTGTGGAGAAGTCCCAGGCGTTCCGATTTGTCATTCGCGTTTCCACGCACGCATGATATGAACCAGGTCAAATGGCTGTGGGTCAAAACCAATGGTACCATTTTGTAGGTGCACCTCCCATTTTAGTCTATTTTAGTGGGGATTAGGATGTTCACTGGGGGTACGGGATTTTGACCCATGGCAAACTGTGAACAGCAAATGGCTCAATCTCCTCCTTTGCAGCCTGTTCGAAGGTGGATAGAGCAAAGGGCAAGACCCTAGACGAGATCTCGGCAATTGCCGCCGCCTGAGCCTTTCGGCTTTTGACCTGGGCCAACAGCGTTGCAAGGTCCAGAAGATCAACACACAGCTTAAGGAGAAGAAAAATAAGCTGGCGCCACAAATCAAGGACTGGCATTTCGAGTTCAGGTTTCAACAAGTTTCTTGTTGCAGAAGCAACATTGACACAATCAGAATGCAACAGCTGGCAGTCGTTCATTAAAGGCATTTCCGTCACAGGCATCATGCTTGGGCTGGCAGGCGCTGCGATCCATTCGTCAGAATTTTCAGCAAGTGGAGGCGGTTTGGGCGGAGGTTGTGAGTCCTGTTGGGGCCATTGCGAAGGGAATTTACGCCTTGCAGCATGGTTCCAGGCAAAACATGCAGATGGTGTGAGGATTTTTGGGTTTGGACTCTATGCTTTTGGGAGCAAGCGACAGATGCACTCCAGGTGAAGTACCTTGAGAAGAAGGGCCAATATGACCAGGCCTGGTCAGAGCCCGGCCGAAAACCCCAGCAACCGTAAGCGGAAGGCGAAAACATTTGTGGATGCAGAGCTATCAAAAGTCTCTACGGATGTGGGGCACTCAGACACAGTTGCAGCTGCAGCACGTTTGCAGGCCGCGTTAAAAGCACGAAGTCCGCTTATTTGAAGCAACCACCGGTCCAAGCACCAGTTATGAAGAATCAACAGACGAGAGATGGATTGATTTCCTATCAAGCTCGATTTCACATGCAGATGTTTTGATTGACCTGGAGACAGCTACGTCACATCGGTAAGTCATCGCATTATTGCATTGCAGCATCAGACACAGCCCTCCTTACTGCACAATCACAGCTTTCCGAGTCTCAACTGTGCTGCGACTTAGCCGGAAGTGAAGCGGAACGGTAGATGCGCGTTGCTCGCACAATGATGGGCTACACTTCTCCAGAGTGAAGAAGCCTTTGCGAGAATGCAGCATCCAATGAGATTTCAGTTCAGGTGCCGTTTTTGCACTGCTTTGTACGTGCGTCAGCAGTGTGGCTGTGGGACTTATACTGGGCCATGCCTGTATGGGCCAGGCGAGCGGCATCTGATCAATATGCAGTCGGGGAATCGAGTAGTGAGTGGAAGGGGAAGCCTCGAGCGTCCACCGTTCCTGCCAGCGCCCAAGTGATGCGGTTGGTTGGATTCTATGCGCTTGAGAGCCAAGGACTTCGGAACAAATTGCGAATCGGAGCGTGGCGAGTCTTCTGAGGAAGAGCACTTTTTTGGTATGTGCGTCTTGTCAAAAGAATTGGTTGATTTGATGTCATTGCAAAGAAGCATTTAGACTCGCAAGGCTTGTGAGCCAAACCCAACAATTCAGTTTGAGCAGGTTGTGGTGCGGCTGAGGTGAAAGACATCGCGCCGTTACGTTGCCCAGCGAGTCTGCCAATGACGCCAATCTTAGAAGGTGTTGGTTGTTCCCAGCTGTGGAAGCAAGGCTGGGTGTTTGGTATGGTTTCAGCTAAGGAGTTGATGCAGCTTTTTCCACAGGATGAGCAGGGCTTTGAGCCAAGTATCTAGCTCAGAAAGTCAGTGAGGGCAAAGTGAGGCAGCCACCGCTGCAATGCATATTCTTTGCTCAGGCTTTGGAAACCCATTTCGACACTCAAGAAGGCCAAGCAAAACCAAGCGGCAACGTGATCGAGTTTTCCTAGATTTAGCTGAGCGATTGCGAAGCAATGACTTTGCACATTGTCTGCAGTCGAGTCGCTGCTCCTTTTACTTGAAGTTTGCGATGATGCTCGCTGTGGACACCCATGTTGGGCTGAATCATGCGCCTCTCAGGAATTTGTGGCGCAGCGCAACGTGGCTGGAGCAAACCATTCCTAGCGAGTCAAACCTCGTACGGGTACAATTCAGGAAGCAGCCCGGTGGGGAGGGTGGGGAAGCAATATTTACTATTTGTGAAGGGGCGGTAATACACTGCAAGAAAGTGAGTTTGTGAAAAATGCCGTGAGGGACATTTTGCGTGGTATTTAGACAGCCAACAACTTCATCCCAGACTGGCTTCCCGGCAAAGGTTGCGCGTCAGGACTTTGTTGCGATTAACACCATTAGCGCTAGGTGCCCGGTTTTGCTTGCACGTAGGTTAAAAAGAGCCGCTTGAAGGATTGGCGCTACTCTGGCTTCTCTAAGGCTTGCGCTGCGGAATGCTGAAGCCGTAAAGCAGATTGTGGCTTAGAGGTTGGCGATGGGCATTCATATTTTGGCCCTCCGTTTTAGGAGCTCTCGAGCCAGTTGGTTGTCACGTAGGCAGGTGGCAGGTTGGACATGCCCAAAATTTGTTCGAGTCCCATTCTTTTTCTGTGGATCTGAGGCGAAGCAGCAGCAGCGGCAGCTGCTGCCGCAGAGGCTGCTGCCTCCAAGCCAGAGCTGGGCCCTGTCTTTGCACTGGAGGAAACTTGCAGTTGAGGCATTGCCGACATTTTTTGGCATTGGCCCAGTTGTTTGGCTTGACTCAGGAGGTTTCAATTGCGCCCGTGGCTGTCCGGTAATGAGAAACTCAGGAGACGGCTATCATATTTGACTGGGATGATACGCTGTTTCCAACATGGCTGCTTGGCAATGCAACCAGATGCACTTGCTCACACATCCTCACACATCCTCACACTTACTCACACTTACTGACACTTATTCGCACTTACTCACACCTACTCACTTCCTCAGACACACTCTGATGAATGAAAGCTTCCAAAGAGACCAGCTGCAGGACATTCTGCAGGAAATTCCTGTGGACATTCCTGCAGCTGGTTCTATGAAATTGTTTGCCAGGCCCAGGACGGTCCCAAGGCGTTCTACAGTGGAAGCCCTAAATATTGCAAGCGCCACCGATGCACATGTTGACACCATTTCTGTGGCATCGCCCGCTGCGTGCGGACCTCTCTCCCCCACTTACAATGTTGAAGCCAAGCCCGTATCCCGTCTTCCGAGGCCCAATATATTGCAAGTTCAACATTGTGTCAGGGGAAGGGGGGCCACAGATATCATGTCACAGTGCTTCCCTTAGTGGACCGTGCCCTTTGTTTTTCTGCTCCGCACTTGCAATATTTAGGGCTTCAACCGTCTCGCGTAGACTGTCCATCGTTTTTGCGTCCGCGCCCGTCGCTCCGCACCGTCTCTTTGTCTGCGTGCGAAGACTTTGGAGAGACTTGCCTTGCTCAGCCCACACACGTGCACAACCTGCAAGGGTTTGGAGACGCCTGCCTTCACACAGACATGCGAAACTTGTGAAACTTGGCCAGAACTCGTCCTGAAACTCGTTGGTATTTGCGTGAAACTCGTGAAACTCGTGAAACTTTGAAGAAAAATAACCCTTACTTATTTTTCTTCAAAGTTTCACGAGTTTCACGAGTTTCACGCAAATACCAACAAGTTTCAGGACGAGCTCTGGCCAAGTTTCACAAGCTTCACGTGTCTAGGCTGCTTTGGAAGGCAAACATAGCCTTGCTGTAACTGCTCACCCCAGACAGTGGAAGCCCTAAATATTGCAAGCGCCACCGATGCACATGTTGACACCATTTCTGTGGCATCGCCCGCTGCGTGCGGACCTCTCTCCCCCACTTACAATGTTGAAGCCAAGCCCGTATCCCGTCTTCCGAGGCCCAATATATTGCAAGTTCAACATTGTGTCAGGGGAAGGGGGGCCACAGATATCATGTCACAGTGCTTCCCTTAGTGGACCGTGCCCTTTGTTTTTCTGCTCCGCACTTGCAATATTTAGGGCTTCAACCGTAGCTTTTGTCCAGTATGCAGAAACCGATGAATCGAAGGGCTCATCACATCACAACCTAGATCAGCGAGGAAGCTGCAACGAAAACGTCACAACCATTTTTGAAGCCTAAGCCATGGTGGTCCACGGCCTTCGTGGTAGTGTCAGACGTGGAAGCCAGACACGTTGCCCATGACATACACACACACACCCACACACACACACAGCCACCCTGAAGGGCATGAATCGCACGGTTTCTTGGATCCCTGCCTATGTGCAGATCGTTTGACGCCAGTCCTGGCAGGATTCGACTGTGTGGCCCATTTTCTGACCATTACCTTCCCATAGCCTGATTTGCCATGGGAATTGTCATAAGTCAAGTTTTCCACCAGACAGCCTTGCCAGCCAGCCAGCCAGCCAGCCAGCCAGCCAGCCAGCCAGCCAGCCAGCCAGCCAGCCAGCCAGCCAGCCAGCCAGCCAGCCAGCCCGCCCGCCCGCCCGCCCGCCCGCCCGCCCGCCCGCCCGCCCGCCCGCCCGCCCGCCGCCCGCCGCCCGCCAGCCAGCCCAGCCAGCCAGCCAGCCAGCCAGCCAGCCAGCCAGCCAGCCAGCCAGCCAGCCAGCCAGCCAGCCAGCCAGCCAGCCAGCCAGCCAGCCAGCCAGCCAGCCAGCCAGCCAGCCAGCCGCCAGCCGCTCGCTCGCTCACTCACTCACTCGCTCGCTCGCTCGCTCGCTCCCTCACTCGCTCGCTCGCTCACTCGCCTCGCTCACCTCGCTCACCTCGCTCACCTCGCTCACCTCGCTCACCTCGCTCACCTCGCTCAACTCGCTCAACTCGCTCCCCCCTCGCTCCCCCCCTCGCTCCCCCCTCTCCCCCCCTCGCTCCCCCCTCGCTCCCCCCGCTCCCCCCCGCCTCCCCCCCACCTCCCCCCCGCCGCCCGCCGCCCGCCCGCCCGCCCGCCCGCCCGCCCGCCCGCCCGCACGCGCGCAAGCACGCACGCACGCGCAGGCGCATGCACGCACACACACACACGAATACGCAAATACATGCATACACACATTGACGCATACACACAGACACTGCATACACCCAAGTAAACGCGTGTTATTCCATAGCAGCAGTCTTTCGCCGCTGTTTCTGAAATCTTCTCAAAGCTGAGGTTTGTCACTGAAGTGGTCAATCCGTGCCTCGAGGATGTGCACTGTGAGCGCTTGCCGACGGACAGCCCGTTTGTGGAGTGCCTCACGAGCCAGGGACAAGCAGCAACCTGTCATTGAAGATGCGTGCCACAAAGCCTTTGAGCTGACAATTCCGCAGACGGGTGTGTGCAGCTGTGTGTCTAGACTAGGGACTGCTGGTGGGATAGTTTGAAGACAACAGTTGCCGTTTGGTAGGTTCTGTGCTTCTGACAAATGGAGCAGGTCAATCAGCCCAGTATGGTTCAGACAAAGAAAAGAAAAGAAGGCAGAGATAGGACACGACAGTAGGGGATATCTGAATGTCCAAAACGTTCCCACGACACTTGCTTGGATCAGCTTAAACCTGGAGGCCAATATGATGTATCAGATGCAAGCAACTAGCAGCTGTTTTTCAGGCTTTTGGCCCTTCTTTTTTTTCTTTTCTCAGACATGTCATCATGCAGTGGCTCAAAACGATGGGCACAATAACAAAGTAGCCTTGCTGATTAGCTAGTCAAGTTTACGAGTTAGCTAGTCAGCTTATTTAGCTTAGCTAGCCAGCTGCTCAATCGCCTTGGCTAGCTGCTTGATCAGTCAGCTAGCTAGTTAGTTCGATATTTAGCTCGTGAGCCAATTTGATAGTCAGATACAGTGCTACCTGGCTCCTTTTCCATTCGTGGCTTGTTGCTTAGTTGGCAAATGAACAGCGCAAATTCGCGATCGAAGTGAAAACGCAAGGAAACAAAAGCAATATCACGTGTGAACCCACGAACATTTGCAGAGGGTTCACCATTTCATGGTTGTGTCGAAGCAATGCGAGCGGCTGTGCCCGCAGCCGAACCAGCTCCGAACCGTTCCGAACGCGCTCCGCACCCGCCTCCGCGGGTGAGGCATCGTGCGGAAGAGCCGAATTCATGCCTCCGCACTTTTATTTCCCAGTTCTCGCGTGTTCTAGCTTTTCCTTCCTTATCTTTCTGACGCGCCGTGCAAGGGGCACATGTCGTGCCAACTAGACGTGCAAACCACCTTTTCCGAATATTATGCTACTTCAGCCCTGAACTCATCAGAAAGAGGACGCATTTGCATGCCAACTTGCAGTCCATACAGAAATACGTTCAGCCAAAGAAAGCGATACACTTTGCTTTTCGGCATTGGGGTGGGTCACGCCAAGAAGGTTGGAAAAGGGGTGGTGTCTCCGACCTCCGAGTCTGCATGTTCTCACCTGCCGAGGGGCTTCCGATTTGTTTTACCCGGCCACTGGATTGCATGCTATTGTATCTCTATGGACACATGCTGGTGTTTTCCATGCTTTCCATGCTACATGTCAAGCTCCGAAATGGAGCCAAGATACTTTCCGCGGCATCCTGGCATATGCCACATTCGCAGCAAAGGTTGAAGATCTCCTTCGATGCGCGCGTTCCTGCGGTCACGTTGGAATAGTAACTCTGGCGCAGAAACCTTGGGTTCTGAATTCAGCAGCAAAGTACTTGCCTGGATTGGATGCTAGGATCAATTCAGTGTGCGCAACAATCCAGGGCGATGTATTTGTTTTCCCTTGTCATGCGAGCCCTGATAAGAAATCTACCATTGTTCTGAGGATCTTCCAGGCTTGCTGGAAGAATTACACATCCCGGTCATCTATGCTCGGGAATGCCTGAAAAGATATGTGATACAGGAAGGCATGCAAGACGGAGCTTGTCTTTGGACTCTGGCGAAGCAAGCTGGTATGCGGAAGGCTCGGTCTTGAAGCTCAGCCAACATACGGTTGGCGCCCTGAAATTGCAAGTGGGCTATTGTCTGGTAGATTTGGATGCAGTCTTGAGAAAATGTGCAGATGTTGGGACAGAAGCAGGCAACAAGCACTGCGGCGATCTGGCGTAGGTGCTCCGGTTTCTATATGGCAGGGATAGGCCGTGGATGAATGTTCTGTCCATCGGAGACTCCACTGTGGAGCGGACCGCCATCATGGAACTAATGTGGAGTTCTCAACATGAGGCCAGAACTCGGGGTTTGCCCACACAATTGCATTGTTGACAAATGGATTGTCGCTGGAAGAATGCCAGCTTGGCAACTTGCCTGCGAGGAGGATGCATCGGGACGACTGCCCTGCTGCAAAACGATCAAGCTGATGGATGCAACTTGCCTTGTGATGTGTTTGTGATTGTGGGAGGAGGGAGAGTGCGGGTGCAAACAGACTGGCTCGTGTTCCATTCGAGTTTGTGACACATTAGTGTCACATTAGTCATTCAAGTGGTTCGAGGGGTAACGCAGACAGACAGACAGAGACACACAGACAGACAGACAGACAGACAGACAGAGAGACAGACAGACGGACATACAGCCAGACACACAGAAACAGAGACAGACAAACAGACAGACATGCATACAGACATGCGTACGAACACACGCGCACAGACACAGACATACACACAGACAGACACACAGACCAACGTACAGCTAAATTTGAGTGATGCTTAAAACCTTACAACCCCGCACGGGCTCCCGTTAGCAACGCCTCCTTTTTCATCAAAATCTACTCCATGTTCTTCTTTTCACATCTTTTTAGCGAAATTTGAGTGATGCTTAGAACCTTACAACCCCGCACGGGCTCCCGTTAGCAACGCCTCCTTTTTCATCAACATCTACTCCATGTTCTTCTTGTCCTGGTGTTCTCGATTCGAGTTGGAGTCACAGTCGCAGGTGAAAGAAAAGTCATTGCCACGTTGCGCCCAGGACCCGAGCGTGGAGCAACTCCACACGCAGCTCATCATGCTAAGCATGTGGATGGTGCAGTTGTCGCAGCATGGCCAAGACTTCGATTTCTCCTTGGATGACTCTGACGCCAGCATCCACAAGCAGCTTCCTGGCCAGATGTTTGCTTTGCGCCCAACAGCCACGAAGTTTGGCCGATTTCAGTTCCTACACCGGATTTACCAATTCTTGCACGTAGCCAAGCCAAATACTTGACACCTGAGGTTTGCTGTGAGCCCATCGACACAGAGCAAATGCGTTGAAGACGTGTATTCTCTTTCATCTGATTCCGCTCCCCCTATTGGGGATGACAGATTTCGTTAGACCTTGGCAGATGGCAGTGCAAGATGCTTGCCTCGCCAGGCAGTTTGTGAGGTGTCGTTGAAAGACCAGCCTTGCCGCATGCTTAACTAGGCTTGTCTAGGTCTCCAGTTGCTTGAGATTTCTAGAATGCCAGAAATTGTACGGTGTGACAAGGTAAAAGTCCCTCTCAGAGTTTAGTCCAAAGGGCTCCCGCTTTGAAGACTGGATACTCAGCGATGCTTCACAATACATTTGGATTTCAGACATCCATGTCAGGTCCAAAGTGCAATAAAGTGATTTGTCTCTTTATTATTGGCTCATTGAGGAATTGTTTCCGAGCTCGCCTTCTCCTTGACGGGATGGCCTTTAGCCGCTAGGTGCTCTGTCCCAGGTGCCAATGCACCTCAAGACTGCAGTTGCCGTGTAGCCGCAAGTTGAAAACGGGTGCAATTCCTTGGATGACGTCCCACGCCATGTCAACATTTCAGGATGGATCTTTGGGCGCGTCTTTAGCAAGACGGGCATAGGAGGGCACATATTTTAAAACGCAAGTTCAGTGGATTCAAAGGGCCGTGCAAGGTCAAGCAGCTGGAGCAAGATGTGCAGGATTCGGAACAGGCATTGGGATCTCGCATCTCGCCCTTTGCCGCATCCGTTGAATATCCATTGGTGTAACGTTTCTCATTCAAGTGTAGAAGAGACTCGAACCGTCGCGGAAAGAATGCACCCAGAGTCCCGCCACTGTCAGAACTACTTTGAGCTCAACATGCAGCTCATCACTGCTGAAAGACGCTTGCTTGCACTGTCAATTCAGGTCAATTTGTCACGGGTACCAGGGCGGCATCTCATTATCATTCCACTACTTGATAGCCATCAAGCAACCATAGATTGAAGGGCAACATGTATCAAACGCCGATGCTGTTTGACTGCATCCTTTGCATGCTTCACATTCAATCAGAGATACCCTGATGCCTCTTAGGGATGAACTCTCATGAATTGGTGCCTGTGCCTTGAGAGTCAAGCAGGCAAGCTTCAGCGAGCAAACTTCGAGACTCGTTGCCTCCGAAAAGAAGAAGGCGCACGCCACTCAGAGGAGCTACGCGGGATTTCATGCCACGAATGCAAGAGGACGAGTGGCAGAACAACATGTGCAATGACATCTTCTTTTGACGGCAGACAGTATTCTCACAGCACATTGATTTTTGATTCACAGGTTTCACTCGTGGACAATCATTGCATCACTTTTTGCACTGCTTGGCAGGAGTTTGCGACCTTATCTGATCAGTATGCTGCCGAGATCAGCAAGCTCGATGAGCAGTGCCGGGAGCGCGTCACTGTTCTAGGGAAGGGTCAAGTTTGCGGATATGAAAGAAAGCAGGAGGTACAAATGAAGGCAACCAGCGGCTTGAGCAGTACAGTTGCAAGTTGCAACAGGCAAGCTTTCCAGGGTTGCTTGTTCCCTTCCTTTGGAGCCTTGCGACTTTGGTCGGGATCAAGCTGAAGCTTCAACACTTGCGCATCGCCAACTTGACCGGCAGTTTGTGAGGAGCTGCGAAAAGATCAGAAAGTGGTGAAGGAGTCGCACGAGGCGCGTTGATCCGGCGAACAGCTACCGCCAGGTTTGCCATCGTGAGGTTTTCTTTGATGGGCATGCAAGCACGCCTCAGAAGGGAGAAAAGAGCCAACAGCTATCAGGACAACCTGAAGCAGAAGCGGGCCTTTGTCCAGCTTGAGCAGCTGATGCAGATCAAGTTCAAGGTCATGGAGTTGCAGTGATGCAAATGCAGCATGCAATGCCAAGTGCGATGCACGGTTGGTTTCACGTGCGGTTTCTGGGCATCGCGAGAGGTGGCGAAGCAGGAGCTGCAGAACTTGGCGGAGGGGAGGCGCATGGCTTGCGGAATTGCGGTGCATGGCACCTCGACAGCTCCGGCCTTTGCGAGGTATGGAGGCATCGGAGCCTCCAGAACGGTCCAATCCCTGGCGTACTCGGAGACGTTTTGAAAAAAAACACATGAGTCTTCTGCAGATGTTAGCGGGCTTGATGAAAACAGGTGTGTCTTGTGAAGGCGTGCGCTCTTTGATTAGGTCATGGATGCCTCAACTGCTGGAGTGGAGCGGTTGGTCATCGAGTGAGCTTCAGGTTGCTTTGTCTCACCCTTGTAGACAGGCATGCCAGAGGCGACTTGAGAATCAGATACCACCTCCAGTTCCTCCGGCTGGAATTCAGGATGCATGGTTTCACCAACTTATTGCATGCTTCACAAAGAACACAGCACAAAGCAAGCGCGCTCCACGCATTTGCAGCACTTGCCGAGGCATATCCTGCACCGGTGCAAAGAATCATGGCAGTCTTGTGGCCATGTTCTTGGCATGGTACCAATGGACTTCTGTGTTACAGCTTTACAAGATCATGGAAGACATCAATATGTGCTAACACTGTCCTGCACTGCTCAGGCACCACGACATGCACAACTTGCAAACATGACTCACAGACATGCCAACATCTTATTCCAATACCAGCCCTGCTTGTCAAGATGATCCCTTTTACAGCGGTCTGGCCCCAAGCATCATGCGGAGCTTCGCCAGTGTATCACCAAAATGAAGCACACCTGGGTTCAAGCCATACCTGAACATCGCATATGGTTTGTATTTTATCAAGAAGGGGCAGGGAGTTTCCGCAAATGGAAGTGAAATCACCGCAATCCGGGGTGCGCTCTGATGTGCACACGGCAGTCCCTGCAACTTGAGCCGAGGATTGATGTGGCAAGCACCAGGTCTGCCTTGAGAGAGACCTTCCGTGGGGAATGTGCCCGAGACACCCTTACTGCATGCGTGCCTTGGGCCATTCGCGTCGGATGTAGGCAGGCATGGCCTGTGACATCAGCCAAATCCTCATGGGATGCAAGGAGTTTGGCTTGCTCGCCTTGTTTGGTTTTGAAGCGGACTGTTTGTTTTGTGCACGTGCATGATGTTTGTCCATTGACCGCTGAGCATTGCAGCAAGGGCACTCTGCCGCGTGTCAGGATTTGTCAACAACAGTTGAATCGTGATGGCCAGGAAAGGTTCTGGACAACTTGCTGCAAGAACCGGCAGCCAGTGCAGGCAAGCGCTGGTGGCATCCGATGGTTTGTCCCAGCCAGTATGGGCAATGCGTGCCCTTGCCATCAACTTGCGGCTACGGCTACGCACAAGTCAAGCTGCTCATTTTGTGAAGGCCCGGATGTGGTTCAGCAGGCTACGAAGCTCCATGAAGGTGCGGAGACTTGACAATATGAAAGAACAAACTAAGATTCACGTTGGTGTTTGTTCCATGTCAAGCCTGGCAAAGGCAACCAACACACATTGGCAGATGGCTTGACAGATGTGTAGACTTCAGGTATCCGGTATCCTCATTCAGGGTTCGCAGTAGATTGGAACCATGAATGCGCCGGTCTCGCAGGCATTCAGCGCCTACAATTTCTTCTAGAGGCCAGGACCAATCAGTGACAGTGCAGCCGAAACATGACTGTGCAGGAGGAGAGGAGGAAGGTGGACACTGTGCCACCATCTAAGGCATGAAACTCATGGAACGCGGAGAGATTTCCTGGGCCAAGGCCAAAGCCTTTCGCCGGGATTTTTCCCAACACGCTGGAGGCCACTGGCCTAGCAGCCGACCCTCAAGTCAAACTATCAAATGAACAAGTTTCTTATTTCTCATTACTCGAGATGCGATTCAAGCAAGCATTGGCAACCTCCATGCCTGTTATTGTATCACACTGCTTTTGGACACATTTCTTCTAAGACAGTTCTTCTGTATCTCCTGGATGTTGGCAAGGTTCAGCATTTGCTTCAAGAGCTGGAGACGGTGAATGGGACCATCCGAGCCCTGGACGAGGCAAGGATCGCCCTGAAAGCACACAGGGGGATCTTTTTGCCACCTTTTGTGAGAAAATGGGCGACCCCCTTAAAAGGGAATCCTTCACTACGAGGGGGTCGATCAATTTTGCACAAAAGGTGGCAAAAAGACCCCCTGGATGCAATGGCTTGTCCCATGGAGTTCCTGTCAGATGATGGCCGCCGAGAGCATGCCGTTGGTGGAATGTCTCGGTGCCGATCCCATCGCCCCCCACGTCTCGGGTCTTGAATCGCGGCCAAGGCCTGGGAGCGGCGGGAGCACCGGGAGCGCCGGCATCGCGGACAGAGGCACCGAGTCACCGAGTCCGCGGCGCAAACGTCGAACTTTGGAAATCCGCAGCCTGAAGGGCTACCAGACTTGGAGCCGGGCGCGCCAGGAGTGGAAAGTTCAAGACGCCCACCAGGCCCAGGCTCCGGCTTTGAACACGCTGCCCCGGGCCCAAACTGCACGTAGTTCGTTCGGGCGAAGCGGGATGTGTTGAGGCCACCGGTGCCGAGTTCCGCCACTTTGCCTGGGGAGCCAGCCATTGGCGGAGGCTTGGGTGCACTGTTGCGACACGCACCGGGCTCATGATCACACAATCGAAAAGGGGCCGATATATGGTCATGCTTTGATTTGCAATATGTATTGCGCTTTCTCGACTGCACCAGGTATGGACGCGGAGGCAGAGCTTGATCAGGCCAGAGTTTCGCTGAAGAAGCAGCAGAGGTCTGAGTTGCCCCAGGTGCTGCTGGATGCACCTCAGCCTTCACGCCTGGGGGCTCAGACTACATTCAACCTGACAGTTGGGAACATCAGATATCGGCTGAGGCTCCAGTGCTTCAGTGATACGCGACGCTTTGGTGCCCAGCCGCCGTTTGGCAGATGCTGAAGACACAGCGGCATGCTCAGCGCTGGCTGTCAGCCTATTTCAGTTGAACAGTTGCAAAGCTGTTCTGCACAGGGAGCTGCAGTCAAGCGTGGATCATGTTATTTGAGGCCCATGTTGCTTCCTTGCTTTGCTCGCCGGAGACTCTGGCGCTTCAAGATATTCCGCCGCCCAAACCCGACTCGCAGCAGCTTTTTCAAGTGGTGCCGGTCGAGGCGGAGGTGGATGTCGGGAGAGCTCCGACTCCAGCCAAGTCTCGGCTTGGCATGACCAGGAAACGGCGAAGAAGAGCTTGGCCGACACAGCAAATCGATGATGTGATCGAAAGCTTTTCTGAGTATGCGAGGTCCCAGGAGGTGCAGTCAACTCTGGAGCGAGAGCAAGAGATGCAGAGAGAGGCCGGCCGCGAGCTCCAACCGTTGCAGAACCTGCCAGCTATTGTGCCTTACGAGCCTTATGATGGTTGCGGGCCTGCAGGCCAAGGCAAACGCGAGCTTCCCAGCTTGTACAAGCATGTCATTGATGTGACCGACGATGCTGACCACTTGCCCAAGCCGCTGATGCAGGAGGAACATGCAGCAGCACACAATGCAGTTGTGCCGTATGTGCCTCCAGCCAAGCCAGCTGAAGAGCAGAAGCCTGCAAAGCAAGCAAAGCGCCGTCGAACTCTGCTTTCACAGCGAGTGCGGTTGTCACAGATGCATCTTGCATCCCAAAGTCAGAAAGGTGTGACTGCATCGCAGCGTCTTTGTGCTAGCCTTACACGCCGTGCGGGTCAGAAGAGCCGCCGCAGAAAGGGCTGGGTCTTGGACCCAGAAGATGCGCAAGACGCCCAGGATGTGCTGAATGCACAAGATGTGCAGGAAGCGCAGGGGAATGTGCGAGCGGATGTGCAAGTAGCCGGCGCTCAAGTTGTGCATCCTGTGGAAGACCCGTTGGACCTGCCAAAAGCTTCAACGCCAGAGCGTCCCAACGTCCTTTTTTCCGGGTTTTCCCGCAGTGATCTCCATCAACTGAAAGCATCTGTAAACTGCCTGGGTGGTTCTGCAGTGAGGGACTTGCCCTCAGGATCTTCAGCATCCGAGACACGAGTAGTGGTAAGATGCACATCGGAGTCAGGCAAGCTGATCGCTGGAGCGAGAACCATCAAGTACTTGGACGCGGTCCTTGCGGGTGCTTGGGTGCTGTCCCCTGAATGGGTGCATGCCTCCATGCGAGCAGGCCATTGGCTCGCCGAAGCAAAGTTTCAGCTGCAGGGCGATCCAGCGGCCTTCGGTGGCCCAGTGAAAGGCCGCCAGCACGGCCCAGAACTCTTTGCCGGCTTTCGCTTCCACTTCGCCCAGGCGCCACGCTGAGTTGATACTGCGGGTTAGACAAGTGGAGCGCTTCTTTCAAATCTGTTCCCCGCTCGCTCTCTCTCTCTCTCTCTCTGTTTTCTTTCTCTCTGTCTCTCTCTCTCTCTCTCTTTCTTTATCGCCGTCTCTCCATCTCTCCATCCTTTTTTCTCGCTATCTCTCTATCTCGCTCTCTCTATCTCTCCATCTCTCGATCTCTCCTCTCTATATCTGTCTCTCTCTCTCTACATCTCTCTATCTCTCTATGTCTCTGTCTCTGTTTCTCGCTCTCTCTCTCTCTCATTTTCTCTTTTTTTCTTTTTCTTTCTCTCTCTCTCTCTCTTTCTTTCTCGCCGTCTCTCTATCTCTCCATCCTTCTTTCTCGCTATCTCTCTATCTCGCTCTCTCTATCTCTCCATCTCTCCATCTCTCCATCTCTCCATCTCTCCATCTCTCCATCTCTCCATCTCTCTCTATCTCTCTGTCTCTCTCTACATCTCTCCATCTCTCCATCTCTCTGTCTCTCTATGTCTCTGTCTCTGTTTCTCGCTCTCTCTCTCTCTCTCTCTTTCTCCATTTTTTCGTTCTCTCTCTCTCTCTTTCTTTCTCGCCGTCTCTCTATCTCTCCATCCTTCTTTCTCGCTATCTCTCTATGTCGGTCTCTCCACCTCTCCATCTCTCCACCTCTCCTCTCTATCTCTCTGTCTCTCTCTACATCTCTCTATCTCTTCATCTCTCTGTCTCTCTATGTCTCTGTCTCTCTTTCTCGCTCTCTCTCTCTCTCTTTTCTTTCTCTTTCTCTCTCTCTCTCTTTCTTTCTTTCTCGCCGTCTCTCTATCTCTCCATCCTTCTTTTTGTATCTCTCTGTCTCTCCATCTCTCCATCTCTCCATCTCTCCATCTCTCCATCTCTCCATCTCTCCATCTCTCCATCTCTCCATCTCTCCATCTCTCCATCTCTCCATCTCTCCATCTCTCCATCTCTCCATCTCTCCATCTTTCCTCTCTATCTTTCTGTCTCTCTCTACATCTCTCTATTTCTATCTCTCCATCTCTCTGTCTCTCTATGTCTCTATGTCTCTGTCTCTCTATCTTTCTATCTCTTTGTCTCTCTCTCTATCTCTGTTTCTCTCTTTTTTTCTCGCCGTTTCTCTATCTCTCCATCTTTCTTTCTCTATCTCTCTGTCTCTCTATCTCTCCATCTCTTCATCTCTCCATCTCTCCTCTCTATCTGTCTGTCTCTCTTTACATCTCTCTATCTCTCCGCCCCTCTGTCTCTCTATGTCTCTGTATCTCTTTCTCGCTATCTCTCTGTGTTTTTTTCTCTCTATCTCTCTGTCTCTCTCTCTCTCTCTCTCCTCTCTCTCTCTCTCTGTCACTTTCTCTCTCTCTCTCTCTCTTTGTCTCTCTCCCTCTCTCTCTTTTTCTTGCCGTCTCTCAATCTTTCCATTTTTCCATCGCTCCTCTCTATCTCTTTGTCTTTCTCTACATCTCTGTCTCTCTTTCTCGCTATCTGTCTCTCTATCTGTACTTTTCTATCTCTCTGTCTCTCTCTCTCTCTCTATCTCTCTCTCTCTCTTTCTTTCTCGCCGTCTTTCTATCTCTCCATCCTTCTTTCTCTATCTCTCCATCTCTCCATCTCCGGATCTCTCCTCTCTATCTCTCTGTCTCTCTCTACATCTCTCTATCTCTGCATCTTTCTGTCACTCTATGTCGCCTCTCTTTCTCGCTCTCTCTCTCTCTCTCTGTCTCTCTGTCTCTCTTTCTCTCTATCTCTCTCTCTCTCTCCCCCTCTGCCTCTCCGTCAATCTCCATCTCTCTCTCTTTTTCTGCTTCTCTACCTCTCTCTCTCTCTCTGTCTCTCTCTTTCGCACTCTTTCTCTATCTCTCTGTCTCTCTATCTCTCCATTTTTCGGTCTTTTTATCTCTGTCTCTCTGTGCCTCTCTATCACTCCATCTCTTTGTGTTTGTATCTTGCTGTCTCTCTGTTTGTATATCTCTCCATCTTTTTTGTTTTTGTTTTTTCTTTCTTTTTCTCTCTTGTTCTTCTCTATCTCTCTCTCTCTCTCTCTTTCTTCCTATCTCTTTATCTCTCTTTTTGTCTAGCTCTCTGCCTCTCTCTATCTCTCTGTCGGTATCTTTCTCTCAATCTCTGTTTTTTCATTCTTTGTCCCTCTTTCTCTCTATCTCTCTATCTCTCTGTCTCTGTCTTTCTCTCTCTCTCTCTCTTTCTCAACCTCTCTTTCTCGGTTTTCTTTATCTCGTTCTGTCTCTGTTTCTTGTCACGAAAGCTAGCTTTAGCTAGCTGAAGTTTCTCCTTGCGTAAGCAAGGTAAGGGGCTCAAATGCCGAAAGATTGATTTTTTCAATTATTCAAGCCGAAAAGATTGAAACACATCAATTATTTAGACCCCCCCCCCTCCCCCCAAAAATGGAAGAAAGGGTGATTCTGAGGGGTGGCCTGTTGATGGTTGCCTGTTCTGGTTTTTATGTTAATCTCAAATCTGTGTTCCCCCTTCTTCGTTATTAAAAGGGTGTTTTTGAGGAGCTTATATATCGTTTTCGTTAAGGTAATCACTTGGGTAAATTCTCGCCTTGTTCATTGTTGGGCTGGGGGCCGACATTTTTTTCATTTGAAAGAGTTAACCCTTTTAGTAGTTTCAATGTTCTGGGGTGTTGGTGGTGTATTTGTTTTATGACGCTCTTCATATTCTTTTTTCAGTTTGAGGTTATGTTGATGAAAGCTGGTTTCTTCGTGTTGCTTTCGCTTGCCTTGATGATAATGACGATTACATACATCACATTCAATCAAGGTCTGAGTATATTGTTGTTGGTATGTTTTGTAGTATTCCTTGTTTTGTTCATAATAAACCTTTGCCTTCTCTTGTATTTGTTCTTTGTGTGCTTCTCTATACCGTCGTTTGCTCTCCAAGCATACATTACATTGTTTTCTTCCTTCTTTGAACTTTTCTAACAATTGAAAGACTTTACATTTGGAACATTGCTTTTTGTCTGTCATTGGTCTCTATATGTTTAAGGGTTATTACTTTAGATAAGTTTAAGGGGTGTTATAGGTTAAAATTACAGTATAATGAAAGGTTATAAAAGTTTATACTGTTTAATCATATTATAATTAAGTAATATGAATAACGCAACAGTTAGTTTGTCCCGTATTCAATTCAATTTCACCGGCGATACAACCACTATAACAACTCATACCATACTCACAACAATAATGCTCATATCCTTTAATTAATTGGTCTGTATAAATTTCAATTTAGTCGCTTAATATGTTTCTCATATATAACATTGTTATTTCTGTATGACCACCAACTGTTTAGATTTGCAAAAGCCTAATCCATTTTGTTTCCAATGTTTTAATTCTTCAACTTTAAGACCATGTTTTAAAACGAGACAAAGTCCGACCTTTCACCACTTTTGTGAAAGCCTTTCACCTCAAGGGTGAAAGGGTGAAAGGGTTCAGGGTGAAATGGCTTCCCCCACTGGAATTTGACACAAAAAGGACTAGTTTTCACCGCACTAGTGAAAGGAAAAGGGGCTCAGCGGTGAAAGGGTGAAAGAGCAGTCGGTCAGTCCTACACTCGTTGCCACCAGACAGAATCTCACATCAAACCAAACCAACAAATATATCACTAATCAAATCAGTAGGTATCTTATATAAATCCTCCTGTTTATGCTTAACATACCCATCACACCATTCAGATTTTTTACCATACGGGAGTCTTTGGGCGGTTTCCCAATGTTTCCCATTCCTAATTTTCCCACAATCCCCTTTGCATAATAGTCTAGGTTTCCATGATGTTATGTTAGTCCAAAGCCTTGTTCGCTTCCTAATAGGATTTCAAGCCACATCATAGTATTTCAAGCCACTCATGAAGGGTTGTTCCTTTAATAATCCTGTTTGAGGATTTTCCACAACCCACCATGTAGGTTTGAAGTAGTCAATGATTTCAAGGGTTTTCAAAACAATACTATTAGCATAATCAATTTTTCGGACACCAACAGTTTTAGCCCTACTATATTCCGTGCATGGAGGGGATGCCCACACAACATCAAACTCACCCACATCAAACTCACGATAATCCCAACTCAAAATATCAGTATTGATATTTGCATTTTTCAAATCAAGGGAAATGACACTAAAACCCAAATCCCGAGCAACCCGACCAACCGAGCCTGTCCCTGAAAATAATTCTAATAATTTCATATTATTAGAACTATTTAGATAATTATTTTATGGAATAATGCCCATATGGCAATGAATTGAAAGCATCAATATAAAACCTTTTATTTTCATAATTACTGAGAGATTGCTTCACTTGAGACATTGAAAATAATTGATGGTTGCGACTACGAATAAAATTATATGTTATTTCATGCTTTTTGTTTTGAAATAATGCTTCGTGGTAGTTCTGATACGACAGTTCTTTTTTAACTTTGTGTTTCACTACACCTTTTGATTTCTTATGTTCATCATCCTCACCGTGTATTGTAAAAGCATATGACTTTGGTTTGAGAGCTATGAATTTTGTAATTATCTTTGAAGAGCATTCGTCCTTAAACATTCCTAAGACCTTCTTATTTGTTTTGTCAAAGCATGGATGTTCTACTGGATAATCGCTAAAGTCCATATATTGACTTAATTCTTTGAAGTCCTTATAAACATCATCAGTCATTGTTTGAATTACATAACTGTCAGTATCAGTGTAAACCAGTTTGATGTTTTCATTGTATTTCTTCTTAAGAACATCATAGTAGAACTGATACATATGCAATTTGCTTAAATCTAAAATGCTCATTCCTAAGAAAATCGGTTTGTCCAGTTTCAGTTTCGCTTTAGTTTTTTCAACTCCTACAAGGTTTTCATTAATAATAAATCTACTTTTGAATGTTGGATTATTAACACATTTTTCATATCTAACTTCATTATCAACTAATTCAAAATCCATATGGTTTCGCTTGTCTTCCATGGTTTTTCCGTATATGCTAT